TTTGTAGATAGTACTCGTAAATAATACAGAAAACCCAACAACGAGACCAGGGAATAACAAAAAAAATGGAATCGGAATCATATTCAAAATTAATATCGAAGATGCAAAAATCAAAATAGCAATAATTAAAGAAATCAAAAAAATTAAAGTCAGGAAAATTGTATAAAAAATTTTTAGCAAAAGAAAATATGCAATTCTTAGCAATAATGCTAAGAGCTTTTTACTTGACATTTTGTAATTGTAATTTTTAGTCAATTCTGAAAGCTAGATTTTTATATGTTCTTTTAATCCATTTTTTCATAAATGAACTTGTTCAAATAAGGAAATAATTAAAACAATTTTGTTTTAATTTATGCTATCTTTGCCGTGGCTATTCGTATTATTTATTTTACAAAATATTAAAAAGAAACTTCTGAGTTGTGTATGATGTACAGTATAATATATAATACTGATCTGTTACAATTTATACGCGTTAAAACATATCAGATGTAATTCTTTCCAATTCTTTGCATGGTATTGAAAAAGGCTTTGTTTGATGATTTATTCAAATAAGGATAACTAATCATATTTGAACTAAATTATGAAATTTATGTTGTCTTTGCCATGGTTATTCATATTACCTTATTTTTACAAAGCATCAAATGAAACTCTGAGTTATGTATGATATTGCATTTTATGAGTATTGATCAGTACGCGTGTTAAAACATACTAATATAAACCAAGTTTATTCGTTTGCTATTTCAAAAAACTTTGTTTTATCGTAAATGAACTTATTCAAATAAGAAAAGAATAATTAATTCATATTTGACTTAATTTATGCTATCTTTAGCCATGGTTATTCATATTACCTATTTTATATTGAAACTTCGATTTCTATGATAAAGTTAATAATTTAAATATAATATCGATTTATAATATAAATACAGATCTGTTACTCAATTATACGCGATCTGTTTTAAAATATATAAAGGATATGATGTAATCTTTTAGAATTTTTGTCATTTAAAAATATTAAAAATGATTGCTTATAAGAAATTAGTTTTTTTAATATTTTTTTGTTGTTTCTATTGCTGAATATGCAAAAAAAATTCTTGTAAAATTGTGTACTTGCTGAAATATTCTTATTGTTATATTATTTTCTGAGTTTATCATATTTTTTTATAATCTGGTTGTAAGTATATTTTGGCTTCTTTTTCTAGCTGGAACATTGAAGTTTGAACTGATTGTATCAAATTTTTATAGAATTAAACAGTTACAGTATTCATATTTGTATACCGATCCTTATGAGCCAATTGTGCATTGAACTTTTGGTGTTGACCAATCTAATTGGAAAAAATAGTACAAACAAAAGATTTTTATGATGAAATAATAGGTGGAATTCGTGGGTTCAGACATTCAGATTATGATAGGTTCATACCGTATTGAAGTTAAATAGTTTCAATTTATCTTCTTAAATTAATGCATAGAAGTTCAAACTGATTTTATCAATTTTTTATAGGATCAGATGGTCAAATTATTCATATTTGTATACTGAGCCTTACGAGCCAATTGTTCATGGAACTTTTGACAATCAACTTGAACTTTTGTATATGCCTGAAATGGTTGCAATAGAAATTATAAAAGATTTTTTTGCTGAAATAATGGCTAGAGATCGTGGGTTTGGATATAAAGATTATGATAGATTAGTGTTGTATTAAATAATTTCAATTTATTTGAATTGGATTGGTTTTCTTGTGAATAGAATTTATGGTAGTGACATCTGATATTTTGTAAAATAAGCTTTTAATTTATTAAACTAATATTGACATATGTTAAATAAATTAAAATTTATGCAAACTTGGTTTCACAACATAAATATCTAATCTTTTTTTAACGTAAGATTATACAATTGTTAACTCTTACTTTTTCACTAAATATCGCTCTTTTCAAAGTATAATATAGTAAATATCTGTATTATTCTTTTATTATTATTATTTCTTTTTAACCATTAAATTATGTCTATTACAAAGAAAAGAAAACTGACTATATCGAAAGAATTCAAAACAATGAAAAATTTACTCCAACTGTTGCTCCAGTAATAAATATTGACAGATTTAAAGCAGAAGAGTAAAAAAATTTTAATGAAAAAATTCTTGAAAAAAAAAGCAAATGAAAATCGATCTTGACTGGGCTGAGGTTTACAGTAAATTTATTATGTTTAAGTCAATTTATGATTCCATCAAAACACAAAAGTTTGTGACTAAAAATCTTAAGATTAAAGCAATCAATAGTATGATCAAACAAGCAATTTCAGAAACAATGTTCTCGGAAATATCAAAATTGAGAAAGATTTTTGATTTTACTGTGATTGTTATAGAAAATAAAAATATTAGTTTAGAAAATTTTCTTGTAGAAATACGAGATTTAAACATTATTTTAAATTATCTTCAGGAGATTAATAGAGATGACTTTTTGACTTTACTTACCGCTATCGTGGAAAAAAAATGAGGTTAGTATTTTAAATTCTTTAAGAAAAATATCCTACCTGAATTGCAACAAAGCATTGATTATTTATTCAGATTTTATATTTTTTCGGCAATGAACAGATTAATTTAAGATAAAAATTAATCGTGGTTAAGATTTAAATATATAAATATGTTTAGAGTTAAAATGTTTTTCCTAGAGATTAAAAGATTTGGAGGTCAATTATATTAAGCTTTAATATCGTATTTTAATATTTTATGGTTTAGGATTTTAATATTTTAAATAAGCTTATTAAGCTGTTAAACTTTAGTAAATATTTTTAGTTAAGCTTACCAATTAAGTTAATAAAATAATTATAACCATAATACGTAAACCATATATGATTTTATGATGAAATAAATTTTAATATTTAAAAAATAGAAAGTTTTATTAAGATCAGTAATGGTTCACATCACTAGGATTAACTGACTATTGTAAAATTCAAATGCGGTCAGATTATTTAACACTCCTAGTAGAACTAAGGGTGATACTTAATTGTCGCATTTTATAAAAAACCAAATTTTTTAATAGAACGCAGTACGTAATAATTAAAAATTTTTAGTACTGTCAATCAAGAAATATACATTAGTGATGTGATCCAAAATCTGCTTTTATATTACAGTATTAAATCCAATATCTATCCAATGAACTATACATTCTTTTTCAATTATTAAAAAAATTTTTTTACTAAATTGTGAAACACAGAGGAGGTCAAAAAATCACGATGTAACTTCTTCAAAAAAGATCTCTTGTATGCATAATTGTGAAACTTAGATGCAAACATTGCACTTACTTTTTGCATCAATTAATTAAAAATTCTTCAATAAGCAAAATTGCAATTGTGAAATTTAGGGGTGTTCGAAAAATCAATTGAGCTTTTTTACCAATTAAATTAACTTGTTTTTTAAAATACTAATTGTACTTCTAGAAGTAAACTAGAAATATTTTTTATTTGCATCATTTGATATAGGGATAGGAATCGGCTATATGATTTAGTCAACTAAACATAGTAATTTACATATAAATTTTTTAGTCGACTAAATCGATTCCTATCCCTAATTTGATAATCAAAAATGTACTGTATATGCTTCTTTACTTAGAAAAATCAAGAAACTCTTGTATTTTCAAGCTTCAATTATGAGACATAGGGGCATTCGAAAAATCACAATAAAGAAGCAAAATTAGAAAGATTTCTTGTTTGCATAATTGTGAAACTTAGAGAGGAGGGTTCTAAAAATCATTTGATAATTAAGAAATGTATACCAATTAAATTAATCTGTTTTTAAAAAAGGGTTACTAATTGTACTTATTCAAGAAGCAAACCAGAAAAGATTTCTTGTAAAACCTAGAGCCATTCGAAAAATCATTTGATAATCAAGAAATTCAATTAGAAAGATTTCTTGTTTATACTAATAGGAGCATTTGACAAATTATTTGATAATCAAGTCCTAATTACAGAATTAAATTCTTGTTTGCTGATTGTGGAACTTAGGGGTGTTAGAAAAATTACAAAGAAAACTAGAAAGAAATCTCGAGGTATTTGAAAATCATTAAAAAACAAGAAATGTGTATGCTTTCTGCACCAATTAAAATAATTTGTTTTTTTTAAAAAAAGAATTCTTGTTTACTGATTGTACTTCAAGAAACTAAATTGCAAATATTTTTTATAATTGTAAAACCTAGGGGGCGTTCTAAAAATCATTTGACACTTATAATTGTGAAATCTAGAGGCATTCTAAAAATCATTTGATAATCAAGTAGTTTTGAGCTTCAATTGTGAGACATAGGGGCATTTGAACAATCACAATAAAGAAGCAAAACAGATTCTTGTTTGCAAAATTGCAAAACTTAGGGGCGTTCTAAAAATCATTTGATAATCAAGAAATTTAAGAAACAAAATTAGAACAAATAAGGGCAACTGAAAAATTATTTGACAATCAAGAAATGTAAATTAATATTTTTTTTAAAAAAAAAATTTTTCTTGTTTACTAATTGTACTTTTCAGAAAGTAAAAAAATATTTTCTTCATAATTGTGAAATCTAGAGACATTTGAAAAATTATTTGATAATCAAACAAAACTAGAAAGATTCTTGTTTGCATAATTGTGAAACTTAGGGGGCGTTCTAAAAATTATTTGATAATTAAGAAATATACATGCTTTTTGTACCAATTAAATTAATTTGTTTTTTAAAAAAGAACTTCTTGTGAAAAAATTATTTGATAATCAAGAAATTTAAGCAAAATTGCAAAGAATAGGGCATCCGAAAAATCATTTGACAATCAGGAAATATACATGCTTTTCTGCACCAATTAAATTAGTGTTTTTTTTTTTAAAAAAAAATTAATGTTTACTGATTATACTTTTCAAGAAGCAAGATTCTTGTTTACATAATTGTGAAACTTAGTGGTGTTCTAAAAATCATTTGATAATTAAGAAATGTACATGCTTTTTGCACCAATTAAATTAATTTGTTTTATAGAGATGTTCAAAAAATCATTTGATAATCAAGAAATTCAATACCGATACTAATAGGGGCATTCGAAAAATCAAGAAATGTGCATACTTTCAGCACCAATTAAATTAATTTGTTTTTTTTTTAAAAAAAAATTGTTTCTGATTGTACTTATTCAAGAAGCAAAACTGTAAATATTTTACTTCATAATTGTGAAACCTAGAGGCATTCGAAAAATCATTTGATGATCAAGAAATTCTTGTATTTTCAAGCTTCAATTGTGAGACTTAAGGACATTCGAAAAATCACAATAAAGAAGCAAACTGAAAAGATTCTTGTTTACATAATTGTGAAACTTAGTGCGTTCTAAAAATTATTTGATAGTTAAGAAATGTACATGCTTTTTGCACCAATTAAATTAATTTGTTTTTAAAAAAGGATTACTAATTGTAGAGGCATTCGAAAAATCATCTGATAATCAAGAAATTTAATACTAATAGGGTATTTGAAAAATCAAGAAATATATGTGCTTTCGGTACCAATTAAATTAATTGTTTTTTTTTTAAAAAAAAAAATCTTGTTTATTGATTGTACTTCTTCCTGTGAAATCTAGAGGCATTAGAATGCCCAGAGACAATTTAGTTTATTTATGGCAATTAATTTGTTTTTAAAAAAAGGTTTATCTAATTGTACTTGAAAGATTTTTTGTGAAACCTAGAGGCGTTCGAAAAATCATTTGATAATCAAGAAATGTACATGCTTTTTGCCTCCTTACTTGTAAACTTATGGTTTAAAAAATCATTTGATAATTAAGAAATGTATATCCTTTTTGTGCCAATTAAATTACAAAAGTGTTCTTCATTGAGAAACAAAACAAGAAAGGCCTCTCTATCCTTATATTACTGTATTAAAAGAGTAGCTGTGGAACGATATTTTATGTAGTATGCACAAAATACCAATTGCCTATACGTTTAGGTTTTGCAATTAACAAAAGACTTGAAATAACAACATTCTGATGTGTTTGTCTAATATAAAGAATTTTAACAGACTTGAAAATTTAACTCTTTTCTAGTTAAAAAAACTTAAGTATTATTTTTTTTTTATTAATGCTAACATCTAATTTGTATATAGATGACTGACTTTTTATTTATTATAGAAGATGCTTTTCGGCTCATTGTAAGAAATATGGGTGCGTATGGGTCCGATGATTAGAATAGTCCGTTAACTGGTTAAACAATTATAGGCCGAAAATATTATTCAACGAACGCGTATGAGTCTGTGACTAGAATGGTTTGTTGAAACTATATTATATTATTTTATTAAGTTTTATATGATGTATTAAAAAAAGTTATTATCTGATAGACTTTATTATTCAAAGAAATTTATAAACCATGTGATTATGTGTATTAATTTTATTTTTCATTATTCTCAGTGGTTTCGTTGGTTTCATCAGGTATGTACGAGAAACGGCCCAACAATTCCATATCTTCCCTTCGATATGCTGGTGGGTTGGGTTCTGATTCTAAATCTAATACCAATTCGGTTCGTTGAAGTACTGGTGTTGTTCTGACAAGACCTAAAGCATATCTAAATTTATTAATATTATGTTAAGCAAAATA